TGCCGATTGTCAGCTGACAGGGCCAGGCCATCGGTCTCCTCTCGATTCGCTTGAACATAGACAGCTGCTCGATTGCATTCCTACAACAATGGAAAACCCAACAGAAACCAGACTCACAAGACTTACAACAAGACTTCATATAAATATATATGTGTGTCTGTGTGTGTGTCTGTGTGTGTGTGCAGTAGATGGGTGATTCAGAGACAGAAATTATCATGCAGTGTTCAATAAGAGTCTTCTGACCTGAATGTATAAATTTCATCCATGCCCTCGTCTTCATCCAGACTCAGCATGATGTGTTTCATTATGTCAAGGCTATTCTTCTGTTCCCCGGACAGACCTTTGCCACTACCTGCGTGACCAGGGCCTGTTCTGTCCCCATCCCCTCGTCCACCCTCCTCCTCGTCGTTTTCCTTCGCAGGGAAAGGCAGACTGCAAAAGCAAATGATCACAGTCAAAGTCAGAAAATAAAATAAATGGCATACAGTTTCATAAAAGTGACAAAATGTCAGATATCTGTTTAACATCGAAAGCTTTGATAAGAAAACACATTTTATTCAGAGTGACTTCTGATAGGTGTACAGGGAGTTTTAGGCCAATCAAGATAAAGGTACAAATGTTTGAAGATATAAAATAAAATATCAAATCAAATTAAATCTCTGCTGTTAGTCATTTTACAACAGAAAAAAAATGTATTAGCAGATTTACCTCAAATAGCCTGATTGTATCACACACAGTAATTATTATTAATTCATATTAATAATAATAACACCTTGTTAAGACAGTATGTTTGAACCTTACAAGAACTGTAAAGTGACGCCAGCTTTTTTCAGATTTTCTATAATGACATCCAGGTGGTCTGCACTGGCTGGGGAGCTGAGGTCAGTCAGGAAGACGATGTTGAGACGATCACACTTCTTCTTACTGAAAAGAAAATCCAAAACACAACCTCAGTCACACTGATGAACAACCAGTAGTTCATTAAGCACAGAGAAGTAAGTTATGAGACACAGGCGGCTTCTTACGCAGTTTCTGTCTGGAGGAGATCCATGCAGACAACAAGAGCATCAAGCCCTGGTGAACAGTAGTTAAGGATTAATTTTACTGTAGCAACTCTGATGCAAACCTTTTTATGGTTCATTGGCAAAAACAGAGGAATTAGATCAATGTGTTTCGGATAAAACAGGGTGTCGCAAATGTAATCACAACAATATTGTGGGGGGCTCTGTCCAATCAAGTGTTTTTACCTATTAAGTAATCTACTCAGAAATAATCATTAATGTAAGAATAGGGGCCCCTTACATGGACCAGAGTAATGAGTATTGCTGTTAATCATGTTTTTACTGCTATGACGAGTACTAATATCTGCAGTGGAAAGGTATGCAAGCCCTGAAAGTCCTGTAGCACAGCAAGACGACAACAATTTCTTTAAGAGCCTCCATCATAGGACTTGTCATTAAAATCAAAATATCTTGTTCGAACACATTTTATGGCTAACTAAGGACTGATGAATTACGGTTGGACAAAATAAGCAAAGTAAAGTGCCTGAAAATGAGAGAAATATTAACATCGGTGTCACAAAATCAATTAAACAAAAAGCACGTTGAAGTGACTCCTATAAAGTAATCTCAAAGTTGTCATTTGTACCCTAATAGCTATAAATCTGCATTTTAAATGCAACATGAAAATAACCATTAGGTGGTGATATTAACTAACAAACTGATGATTAAATGCACCTAATATAACTTACTCCAGTTTTAAACAAATTTAACTGTGCAATAATCATTTTCTATTGGTGCAATTTCATATATGTGCTATCATGTTACACTGTATATAATCTATTTCTATGTTATATTATTTTTTTAATATTTCCTTGTATTGTTTACTTATTTATCTGTTACTAGTTACTGGGTGTCTGTTTTTACAATCCAATTTGCTGCTGTGACACAACACATTTTTCCAAAGTGGGATTAATAAAGAGTTATTTTGATCTTATCTTGAAAAGGATACAATCCGCCTGCTGACTCTCTGGATGGACCTGATTCTCAATTTCCTCCAGTAGTTCAAAATCTGCAACCCTGAGGTGGCGGTGGACGGTGATGTGCTGGTACTGGCCGTCCCGGTGCAGAGGGTTTTCTGTGGAATCTGTGCCAAACAGGACTAAAGCTACTTCATCCTTAGTCTCAGCAAAAACCTGTCAGAAGAAAAAAGATGTGTCAACTTAACTTGTATGAAAAGTGATGGGGTACTTTTGGTTTCATAAATGTTTCATAGATATGTACCTGACGCTGGACAAACTTCTGGACAACTTTTTTTGCCAGTTCAAAGGGAGGCTCTTCACCCGGGGCAGAGTTGGACATGGAGAAGCCCACGTCCATGCACAGCACCAGAGCCGACTGCAGAACAACAATAACACTTTGTTAATACAGGTTTTAACTCAAGGTAACTTTGCCTCAGCACCTCAGAGGTGACACAGACAAGAAAACATTTGAATGTTTATGTTCACAGTCATTAATTCTAGAACAGACTGACAGCAGGCGTGTCCAAAAATGTAATAAACGATAAAAGATTAATTTTGCTCCTGAGTGAAGGTTGTGGTTTTACACTCTTCTTTATGTACAATGAATAAACAAACATTTGAAGAACATTTTGCAAATCTGAGGCAGATCAATAAAGTGTTATACTTCCTCACTGTGCTTGAGGTAAGATGAGATGAGATGAGATCAACTAATGATCACACACCGGAGATATTCAGTTAAAGCAACAGATAGTTAGAATGAGGTAGACAAGAGAACACGTGAAGTTTAAAATAGAATAAAATAGGCAGTAGAAAGTTAAAAGATAAAAATACACTCTATACAAACAGAGTCAATATGAAAACAACTTTCACCTCGGACAGAAAATGGTTTGTAGGAATATATACTGTAGTGAAGTGCAGTGGCACGAGATGATAGCAAGAGGATCTACATTGTAACCGAGCATTATGTACGAGATATTGAAATAGACGTATACACATAGCACAACGTATTATTATTATATGGGTGTGTATTTGATGTTGGACATATTGCTATGGTCTGAACACGTCTCAACATGTCCCTCACTCGTTCAATGGAAATACAAACCTGTTACTTCACACATGACCGTCACCTCACTGTGTCTTTGAAGGGACGTTAAACGTGTTGAAGGATTATAACAATTAAAGTGAATTAATTCAAGAAATCTTAGAAATGGTAACTTACTTTCATTCCTGCCATCTCTTCCCTCTTCTGAGAACGGTGTGTCACCGTGTTATGGCTCCGGGGAGAAACTGCGCGCGCCCCATCGAGGTTCTTGTTCAGGTGAGAATCGTTCCGCACTATTCTCAAGCCGTCGATACGGTGGATTTCCCGACGCACACCAGCAAATACCTGCTCATACAACATGTGGATGTTACTGTGGACATGTGGTGCGACGAGCTGCAGGAATACCGTGATGATAAGATGTGCACAGTCTGTGGATGTAGGTCAAACGCCCTCCAGCGTTTCACATGGCACTATGCACAGAGTCATCGACTGACTGACTGTCTGTAGACACACATATTGAGGTCAAACTAAAATACTGCTCAACACATAAATGCCCGAAAAGCCAGATATAAAT